TTTTTAATTAACGAATTTAAAAAAAATAAAAATATTTATCACACACAATAAATATCGTCGCGTATCATATTGATAATAATAATAATTATTATTATTATTGTATTTAATAAACGCGATTTATTATTATTATTATTAAAAAAAAAAAATGTGATTGTGTGTCTTGTTTTCAAATTATGTAATATATGTAATTTTGTACAAAAATTTTTCTTTTTCTGTATTATTATCATTATTATTATTATTATTCCTACATTGTGTGTGTGTGTGTATTATTATCATTTATTCCTTTCGTTATGTTTCAAGACCCCCCCTCTATTGTCAGTACTTTCTTTCAAATTAGTTAATAATTTTGCCAGAATTTCATTACTCGACAAAACAAAAAGCCTCTATTATGTTAAACCATTCATGAATTAATCAAACACCATCAGTTAAATTACTTTTTAAGTTTGTAAACATTACAATATAATTTTAATACAATTTAATTTTATCAAAAGTGAAATTTTTTTTTTTTCCAATGTGTGCCATCTTGGGTTGCATATACGTTTGAATAATTTTGAGTTTACAATTAAATATTTAACATATTTAATTTTTATGGGCAATCGATTAAACCAATCAATATAGGTAAATACAGATAATTGTGTTCGAAATCAAAATCAAATACTATGAAAACAACACAATTCTATACAATCGACTTCAAGTTATAATGACATTCGAAATAATTTTTAAAAAACAAATAAAGATTTGTATTTTCAAAGGGCATATTCGATTTGAATACAATTTGCCATCCCAAATTCATTTAAAATAACAATCTGTTCACTTTTACATTTCTTTTTTCCCACAAAAAAAAAATTTCTTTGAATTCATCTGTAAAATATTTGTTAACCCATATGAAATAAAATTTTATTTTTAAGTAGTAAAAAAATCAAAAAATAAGTTATTTTGCAAAAAATAATGGAGCATTAATTATGCGTCATGACGTAATTTATGCTTATACATAATTATTATTAAAAATAATAATTAAAAAATAAAATATACAGCGATTGAAATTAAAAACAAATCTTCATTTTTTTTTTTTTTTTTTTGTTAAAAATTTACTTTTGTATTTTTAAATCACATTTGATGTTTTGTTTTTCATTTTTAATTACCTAAAAACTTTTAAAAAAATTATTTAATTATATTTAAAAAAAATAAAAACACAAATTAAATTAAAAATAATAAAAAAAAAAACTTGTGTGTAATTATAACAACAATGAACACACATCAGAAAACTCTGGTCGCCATTTTTATTTTCATATAAACACTCTTGCCAATTTTATCAGGTTGGTACTTCAACCGTTGATAAAAATGGCGGTAATGTTTTTAAATTAAAATTTTCATCTATGCGTGATACAATAAGAATAATTTATTAAATATTTTTTAAACTTATTATTAAATTTATATGAAATTCGAATTATATTTACATATGAACTGTCTAATGGTTGGTCTGCAAATGATTTATCCGTCATATCATTAAAAAATTCAATAATGTCAAAATTAATATTTAACATTTGTGAACATAAACAATTTTATAAATAAATTTTATTGATTTTACTGCATGAGTAGTAAATAAAATTAATAAATATCAGTTTGGAAATAACAAATTTGTTTTGAGATGTAAATAATAATTCCTTTTATATAAATTATTAAATATTTAAAAAAAACTTGAACATTGTTCTACTTTTTCCATAAATATAAAAAAAAAAAACATTTCAGGATTTTACAGTAATAATAATAATAATAATAATAATAATAAACTTATTATTACAAATGAAATTTAAAAATTTTCTTTTAACTAAAAATAAAAACAAAAATAAAAATTTTTTGGTATGGATAAGCAAAATATAATTATTTAAAAATGCTTGAGTCAGGGAAAAAAATAAAAATTTTCCTTTTTTTATTTTTTTAGAAAAAAAGTGCTTTTTCGGTTTTTTTTTGTTTTAAAATAAAATTTTCTTTTTTTTTTTAAATAATTTTCTACCTGAGTATTTAATTTATTTAAAATAACCTTTTAAAAATTAATTTAAAAAGATTTTTTTTTTGTTACAATTTTTTTTTTGTTGGTATTTAAATTTTTACTATTTCGACGAAACAAACAAACAAACCAACAAACAAATTTATTTTATTATTATTATTAAATTAACAACTTGTTGAAAAACATGTAATTAATATAAATAATTATTTATATAAAAAATAAATAAATACTTTTAGGTGGTCAATTAAGATAATTAACCTTTTTAAAATGTCAAATTATTTGATTATTAATCTTGATTAATTATTAATAAATAATATAAATAAGTATATATGTATAAATTTAAAAAAAAAAAAAAATTAAATATGCAACCGTAAAAAAAAAAATAATTTTTTAAATAAATAAATAAATTAACTCATTTTAATTTATATTATTTGTTCATGTTTACCAATCGTTAATAATAAAGTAATAAAAAATGACCTTTAAAAAAAATTTTTTCTTTTTGTTAATAAAATTAAAAATAAAAACAATTTTATTGTAGTTTTACCAAAAAAATACAAAAAAAAAAAAAAAAATTTTTTAAATAAAATGCTGAATTTGTTAAATTTGATATTAAATAAACCAAATAAATAAATAATTTTTATTTTTTTTATCCTTAATAATAATTTCTTTCCCACTTCAGTAAAGGGAATTTTTAACGAGTTCGTGTAAAAAACATAAAACGGAAATGAAATTTTAATATTAATTCTAATAAAATAATAATCAAAAATACAAAAAAATAAATTAAAAATGGCGTCTTCGTAAAAATAATTTTTTTTTCGACAATTAATTGTCCAACAACAACAACCATTTTCATGCGTAATAATAATTTATTTTTTTCATTACTATAAAAGTTTGTATAGGAACAAACCAAAGTTTATTATCATTCACGATTATGATAATTAAACAAACAAACAAAAAATGAATTTGCAGAATCCAAAATTCAAGGTTAACGACATTTTTCATCCTCCTCCTCTTCTTTCCTCTTCCTCTCCTTCTTTTTTCATCTCCAAACAATTTTTATTTTTTTAACATTAACAAAAATATATAAACAATTATTATTATCATTATTATTATTAATTTTAATAATGAAATATGCGAGGAAATTTAAAAAAATTTTTCTATAAATCATTTTAAAAATGATTCGAAATTAAAATTATTATTATTATTATTATTAGTAAAATGGAAAATCCGAATTTTCATGCAAATTACATTAAAAAAAAAAAACAATAAAATATATATATGTAATTTTATAATAAATTATTATATTATTATTATTTAATTGTCGTCGTTTTATTTATTATTATTATAATTATTCGGTTTCGTATAAATAATAATAGTAATAATAAATTCGAAAAAAGTTATTTAAATCGTATTAAAAAAAAAAAAAAATTTTTTTCGTTTTGATATTTTATTAATATTATTATTATTAAACGTATACATTAATTCATTTTAATAAATAATATTTAATAAAATGAACACATTGATTACAAATGCGTAATAATAATAATAATAATAATAATAATAATAATAATAATAATAATAATAATAATAATAATAATAATGTTAGTTAATTAATTTATATAACCTTGAGTTAAAAAAAAAAAATTTTTTTTTTAAATCTCTCGTACATAATTTTTGTTTTATTTATTTATTTATTCATTCAACGAATGATTTATTTAAAAATAATATTACGAAAGTGACGTAATATTTATGAACAAATAATAATAATAATAATAATAATTTTTATTAATTTCGATTGCGTATAAATGGCAACGCATAAAACTTAAAAATGGCAACACATAAAAAAAAAAATAAAATTCGAAGGAAAACTTCATTATAATTTTAGTTATCATCAAACGGTTATCGTCGTCGTTTGTTTGTCGTTGTTTGTTTTGTTGTTTACTAAAACCAACAAAAATGAAACTTTACATTATTTTATTTTGTTTTTTGAGTTTGACAATGTTAGAACATGGAATTAACGGATTACCGGGTGGCGAAAAGGAAACGGATGTCAACAATCCAACAGTATTGAGTGCTATAAAGAGCACAATGGTTAAATTAAATGAAAATTTATCGTCTGGTGAAAACGAGAAAAAATTTGTCGAAACATTAAAAGCAACCGTGCAAGTTGTTTCAGGTACATTGACGAGAGTTTTACTTAGAATTAATCAAGGAGAAGAAACTCATTATTGTTATAGCAAAGTATGGGAACAACTTTGGTTGAATAAAACAGAAGTTTTGGCACATCATTGTGGTAAAACAATCGAAGATGTTAAAGTTAAATCAACCGAAGGTGAATCACCTGTTTTTAAAGTATCCGCATAAATCAAAAAAATCAATAATTATCGATTATCGATTTATTTAAAAAAAAAAAAAAATTATTATTTTCATCAATATAAAATTTTTTATCATAATATATATATTATCATTATTTATTTACTTATTTATTTACGATCCCGTTGTTTTTATCAAAACAAAACGAATGTATTCCTTGACCTTATTATTATTATTATTAAAAATTTTATATGCCGGAAACAAAAAAAAACGATAACTAGAATAAAAAAAAAAAAATTATATTTTTAATTAAATTTTTTTTTCTTTTTTTTGTTTATTTAACGCAAATTAAATTCAATTTTGCGGTCGTTAATCGCATTTAAAAAAAAAAATTTTTTTTTTTTTTTTTTTTTTGCTCTCACCCATGTTTTGTAATTATTACCAAGAGTCATAATCATCTGTTTTCTTTTTTTTTTTTTTTTAAAACAATTTATTAGTCTGAAATTATAATTATTATTAATATTATTTTACCCCGTGGGCCAACCGCAAAAAAAAAATTAAAACGTGTTTAATTATCATTAACCGTAATTTTAACGTTTTTTATCTAATTATTAAAACTCCCATTTAAATTTAAATTTTTTTTTTTTTTGGAATTTCCGCCATTTTTTTTTAACGGATTAAAATTTTTTTTTTTTATGTCATTCGGTAAGGATTTTAAAGAATTTTTTTTTCTTTAATGTTACGAAAAAAATAAAGAAATTTAAGTATTAATAATAATAATTGTGGTGACCGCCAAAAAAAAATTTTTAAATATACACACACACACAGCCTTCTAAACTCGTATTCGATTAATTTTATTATATTATGAAAAATAATAAGAAAAAAAAATATATAATAATAATAATAGAAAAGTGTTTCAATAACAATTTATTTACATTTATTTTATTTTTCTTTTTTTATTAGTTAATTATGAAACAAAAAAATATTAAAAAAAAAATATTTTAAATGCGTTGAATCCGTTGAGTTTTTTTGTTTTTTTTTCCTAAACGTTTTAATAAATAAAACGTTTTAAGACATGATTTTGATTTATTGTTATGTAAATAAATAATAATAATAAAAATAAAAATTAGAAAAAAAAAAAAAACAAGCATGTCATCGCATCAGAAGGATATATTATTAACGGTCGATCCAACAAGTTCGACAGTTAGTCCAGATCGATGGCAATATGGAAATCAATCGAATTTCGAAAATAAATCCGATGTATTCGAATTATGGAAATGGTGTCACGTATTTTGCAAACCATGTCGATGGTTCGATTCAATCGATTACGAATATAAAATATGTAGATTTTGTTTTAAATTCAAAACGTTTAAAACAATCATAACTTTTTGTTTGCTTACTGTTTTTTTATATATATTACTATATGCTCTTTTAGACCGAGAACTCATACCGGGTGGCACAGTTTTTTTTTGTTTCGTTTTGGCAAGTACATAATAATAATAATAATTATTATACATATTATTATTAACAAATAATAATTTTTTTTTTTACTTACGCAGTTTATTTTAGCTTATGTAGCGGGACACTTTTTAGTTTTCGCCGGATTACCTCCGATGTTGGGTCATTTATTGGTTGGAATAATATGTGGAAACTTACCAACCAATTGGTTTCCATCATTTGACCCTAACGAATTAAGAGTTATCATTGTTAATTTAGAGTAAGTTTTAACTTTTCCTCCTCCACCCCCCACACCCCATCCCATTTTAACTTTTTCCTACATTTACACTCGTACACTTTTTATTTAAATTTTTATTATTTTTTTTTTTTTAGAAAATTCATTTTAGCTGTGGCTGTTTTGCGTACAGGTTTAGTAATAGATATATCTCGAATTAAAAATCATATTTGTTTAATAATTAAATTAGGAACTTTTTCTACTGTAAGCGAATTATGTGCAGTAACTGTTTCTGCTTATTTTTTATTATCACTATCGTGGCTATGGTCTGCATTTTTAGGGTAAATAATAAAAAATTTAATTAATGTTTAATCTTTAAAATAAATTAGGATGATGGTTATGATGATGATGATGATGATTATGTTTCAGATCAATTTTACCAATTATTTCATTGGCGACTATGAATAATATTGTGGATAATACAAGTAAAACTCAAGGTTTGGGAGAAGGAAAACAAATTTCAACCATACTTAATGCTGCAAGTGGTGTTAACGTTATTATTTCAGTTATATTTTATATAATTACTTTAAGTTACATGCATCCTGATGGTTTTACTACCGGTAAATCCATTTTTCATTTATTTATTTATTTATTTACATTCGAATTTAATTAATTAATTATTTATTTATTTATAAATTTTAGATTTGTTTAAATGGAAAGCAAAAATTGCCACTTCCGAGTGGATAGTTGTACTTAATGTCTTAGAACAAACATTTGTCGGAACAGTTATAGGTTGCATTTCCGGTTTATTAATTTCTTTTTTCCCGGATAAACATAATGTAATGAAAAAAAGAAAATTTTTTACGTTTACAAAAAATATTAATGAATTATAATTTAAAAATTTTTTAATAATTTCTATAATTTTTTCTTTTTTTTTTTTTGGGGGGGGGCGCGGGGTTTGATTTAAATTTAGACGGAAGCAACGGTTTTGAGAATTTTAACAATCGGACTTGCAGCAGTTGGGATTTTTATTATTTGT